GTTGCTGCCAAAGTCTTGTCGATGTGTTAATTTACTGTGAATAAATTGTCTAGCAGAATCTTTTGTCGGCGTGCCTCACCGTACGGAGGGGGATCAAAACAGGTAGGGTAGAATAGAATAGAATAGAATAGAATAGAATAGAATAGAATAGAATTTCAAGTAACGAGAGCTCACATGCGCAAGGGGTGGGGTGCAGGGTGTGTGTGTGTGTGTCACACGCGCAATGCATTATGGGTGCAGGCATGATGCTTTCGGCACGCAATGACCAAAATGACTGACTTATAGTGTCGTGAGAAAGGGAAGGAAGGGCCGGAGCATCAAGCTTTAAAGGGAAAAAGCTAAGTCATAAACGTGCAGTCATTGTTCTGAAAATGGGACACAACTACTGTATGTGGCTGTGGGTGGCATGCCTTTCCTGCTGGTCTCTTAATGAAGTCTTCCCTTCCAGCGAAGAAGAGCGGAGAAAAATAAGTTATACGAAACGATGAGGGTTCTTTCCTTTCTCTATGTTTTTTTTGGTAAGATGTTAACCAGAAGCCGTTTTATTTTCAGCACCAATTGGTTCAGCTTATAGAGAAAACAGCTGCTTTCCCAGCTGTAGGCTTTGTGTTCCTGGAACTCAAGTATCATAAAAGTGGTAGCTTTCCACAGACATTTAATTGATCATTGAAGCCTTTGGTTAATTTGTTTTTGGGTAGACCAGGTTGAAGAAACCATCCTCCTGGACAAAAAGGAAAAAAAAGAAAGCTAACAGCTTAACTGTTATTGGTATGCCGTTTGTAAATTCAAATTTGGACTCTAATGGAGTTAATGTAATACCTAATAGTTCTGCATTCGCTGCATGCAAATCTCCTGCACAGCTTCTTAGCTTTTTGGCCCAGAAAGATCTCATTTCAGACTGTTCCTCAGGCCACAAAGTTGCTTCAGCTTGTGCTCACGGTTCCAGCTACGACAGTATCGGTGGAGCGGTCATTCTCAGCACCGAAGAGACTAAAAACATAACAGTCGGAACAAGACCAATCAAGGACAACTTTCTTCTCTGGCCACGATCGCCATTGAGACAGAGAGACTTTTAAAATTAAAAGAAGATAATGAAAAATTCTACCATAGATGCCTTTGTTCAGAAGGAGCAGCGGATGGGCTTCATTTATAAGTAATGGTAAGACCCATAATAACTTCTTTTTTGTGCTACAGATACTGTGCTACAGTATCTCAGATGCCATGGGGTGAGCTGGGGCCAATATTATCATGCTTTAATCCCATCCCCCCTGGAGCTGAAGTGGAGAAGTCTTTATTATGTAAAGGGACTAGCTTGGCCTTCTTAATGGCCCATTGACAAAGTGGGGATGGGCAGAAAGGTACAGGCAGCCATT